GGGTTTGTGGGTTTATGGCATTACTCATCCCCGAGTCTCGCTTTGAAAAGGGCTCCGCTAATGAAATAGTAGCTGGTGGAGACGGGCCGCAGGGTTTGCTGTACGGGAGCACGGCGGTTCTGTACCATGCGCCGCATGTGTCCCGGCTCCGGAGCAAACTCGTTTCAGATGCCGGGGGGGTAGGGGTGGGGGATGGGAGGACGTGAGAACGGGGCCCGCCGCTCTCACAGGTGCGTGCATCCTGGATCCCCTCGTCCCGGACAGGGATAAGGTGGAGATGAAAAGGGTGTGTGTGTGTGCATGTGTGTGCGTGACTGGGGGGTTCCTCAGGGTCCTGGGGGTCTGGGAGGAGCCATTAATCACGGTGGTGAGGAGATGAAACGCACCCCTGCCTCACGCCAGGCACTAAATCAGCCCCCTCTGCCTCTCTGTGCCCCGTGCAGGGTCAGGGACCAGCTGACTGATGTTGTCAAGTCTGCAGCCAAGTGAGTCCTGCCTCCTCACCCGTCTGTACTGCCTCCTCACCTCTCTGTACCTGTCTCCTGATGTCTCTGTCCTCTCCTCCTAACCTCTCTCTACCTGCCTCCTCACCTCTCTGTTCTCATCATCCATACACCTTTGTCCCCTCTCCCAAATCTCTCTGTACCCTCCTCCACACCTTTTTGTTTACTTATGCAGCTCACACGCTTTCACTCTAAGCACACAGTTTTGCTTTTCTGTGTTTACCTGACAGCTGCCATGTTTCAACATTAAATTTGGTCAAAATAGCTGGACTAGGTTGATTAATAATCCATATTTCACTCCCAATTATGAAATATTGCAGGTAACTGTATAATTTAGTGGAGTAGCTACTAAAGTTACTATATGCAAATCTATATAATCCTCCCAGCAGCATGTTTTCTTTGTCTGTTTGCAACAATCAATATCAACATAGTAGATGTAACACTGAAGTGTCTTTGCATTTGACCTTGTTTCGCGAGCGAATGAACCGGTGTCTTGACTATCCGGATGGCTTTACTGTGCTTCGGCCTTGCGTGTGGCTAAGATGATTCACGGCTGACGTGGCCTCTGCGCCTGCAGGGACAGTCCTGTCGTGCAGGGGAACTCCATTCTAGCCCTGAGCGGGCTGGCAGCGGTGCTGGCCAAGTATGAGAGCAACCTCCCGGCAGATGCGGAGGGAGCCCCCGAGGTGAGACAGCGTGCAGATCCCGCTGGGCCTGCCTGCACAACCTGCGCATGTTAGCATACCAGGAGCTATTCATCACACTGTACACCAGTGTTTCTCAGTCATACTCCTGGAGGCCCACTGTCCTGCATATCTTCTGTCTGTCCTTGCTCCAAACACACCTGATTAGTGTGATTAACATGCTCTTGATTAAATCAGGCGCGCTCAGCTAATCAAAAGCACCACTGATGAGTTCAGTCAGGTAGGCGGAGCAGGGAAAGATGGAAAACGTGCAGGACAGTGGGCCTCCAGGAGCAGGGCTGAGAAACACTGCTGTACGTGATATTGCAGCTGCATGACGTCCGCATTACTCCTGTTTAAATCTGTTTCTGTGGTTCACGAGCGGCTCAGTCAGCAAGGAGTTTGCGTACAGCCTGTGGCCCGGGTTTGAACCTGGGCGTATCATCTGCCAACAGTGAAAGAGATCCCACAGTTGCAAATCAAAGGCCATGGTGTCAGGGATAGGGGTGGCAGGGTCAGCCAGGGTTTCCTAATCTCGCCTCTCTCAGGTACCGTGCGGTTTGTCAGGCACATGTAAGTTGCCTGGATGAAGTCAGTGGAGTAGAGACTATCCTCCAATGAGCCCCCAGTCTGTGTGCACTGTGGAACTTGTGCAAAACATGGTTGCGTGCGAGTGCACTGGTGAATTGCATTGGCCTTGCTTCGGCCCTCCTGCATAAATGACGTGACCGTCGTGGTGAGATGAGGCTAGTACACCATTGGCGATTTCAAAACAACATTGCATAAAGGGGAAAAACATAAAACATTCTCTATGATCTCTATTCATAGTCAGATAGGATCATTGTATGTTGGCATTGCTTTTGCAGGTTTTGTATCATTTCTGCTAGGTTTCCGCAGGATTTGTGAAGGAGTAACTCTTGCCTGGTTCTGTGTGCAGATCGGGCCTGAGATCCTGGCCTCGAAGCACTGGCTCTCCATGGTGCTGGACACTCTGCTAAGCGTGGTGAGCAGCAGCTACCGGCCCAGAGGACAGGTCTTCCCCTGGTTTCAGCACGTGAGTGTCCTCAGCGCAAAGAGGCCTGCTGGGTCTGCCACACACACACACACACACACACACACACACACACACACACGCATGCACGCACGCACGCACAGACACACCCACACACACACACACGTACAGACACACACGTACAGACACACACGCATGCACGCATGCACAGACACACACACACACACACACACACACACACACACACACACACACACAAGCGTGCTTACACACACACACACACACACACACACACACACACACATACACACATGCACACACACATACACACACACAGACACACACACACAAACACACATGCACAATCCTGCACATGCACACGTACATGTGTGCACACACACTCACACACCCCAACTGTGTATACTTATATGTACACATCCCCAGCGGTTAGTCGTTTCATTTTTGAAAGGCATCATATTCAGTAACATAGAAAAAATGAATGAACAGCAACAAAAGCAGTTTTCTTTCACATTATCAGCAGTCTGGACCCACACCAAGCTGTACTGTTTGCATCCTCAATTATTACAAAAAACAGTACCAGTGAAATAAACCATGATGCTCTACAACTGAACCATATCCACTCTACCTTAATGAGTAATAATGCATTTCGTCTGTTCATCTGTTATTTTCTGTCCTCATTGGTCTCAATCCCTGAAAGGCCCATTACAGATCACACCTTATATACATCATACCCATGCCTCAGTAATGTTAATGCTGCCTGTTGCTGTTAGTTACCCTGGAGCGGTGGTGGGCGGGGCCAGTGAACGTCTCTGAGGTGCAGGGGCAGGAGGGGCGGGGTTTACCTGTTGTCGCGCTGTCTCTCCGTCCCCAGAGGTCGTACTCCGGGGAGAACACGGCCAGCGCCATCGCCCGCTCCTGCGCCGCCCTCGCCCTGTCCCTCGTGGTGCCCGTGCTCCTCACCTCCCACAAGGACAGCGTCGGCGAGATTCTCTCCACCCTGGAGGCGGGGCTGCCCGGGGCGGCGGCCGCCGACGAGTCCCAGGCTGTGCAGTTCCACACAGGCCTCGCCCTGGGCATGGTGCTGTCTGCCCTGCAGGAGGAGCGAGTCAGGTGGGCGCGGCCCGCCCCTGTCTGCACACATTACGCACCCCTGTCTGCACACATTACACACGCGTGGCCCGAAAACATATACAAAACTGAGTCTTAGGCATATACCAAACTGGGTCCCAGACATATACTACACTGGCTCTTAGGCATATACTAAACTGGGTCTTAGGCATATACTAAACTGGGGCTTAGGCATATACTAAACTGGGTCCCAAACATATACTACACTGGGTCTTAGGCATATACTAAACTGGGTCCCAGACATATACTACACTGGCTCTTAGGCATATACTAAACTGGGTCTTAGGCATATACTAAACTGGGGCTTAGGCATATACTAAACTGGGTCCCAAACATATACTACACTGGGTCTTAGGCATATACTAAACTGGGTCCCAGACATATACTACACTGGGTCTTAGGCATATACTAAACTGGGTCCCAGACATATACTACACTGGGTCTTAGGCATATACTAAACTGGGTGCCAGGCATATTTCAAAGTGGGGCTCTGACAGGTGACTGACTGTGCTGTCCTGGCAGCTCTTGCTTTGCCATTCAGCTTGTAATGTGTCAGGGTTTTGTGTGTGGGGTAGTTGGGAATCTGGTGCCTTCATGTTTGGTGGATTGTGAGCTGTGGTAGTGTTGCAGTGATACTGTTTGTCTGTCCATTCACCTGACTGTTTGGTGGACTGACATTTCTGTGTCTCTGGTGTACTAATGTTTGTCTGTATTTCTCTGATGCAGTGATGTGTCTGTGTCTCTGATTCACTGATGTGTCTCTGGGGCAGTTATTTCTCTTTGTATTTATGGTGCAGTGATGTCTGTCTGTGTTTCTCTAATGTAGTGATGTCTCTGTGTCTGTGGTGCACTGATATCTCCTGTGTCTCTGGGCTAGTGATGTGTCTGTGTCTTTGGTATAGTGTTGTACTGTGTACTGTTTCTGAACTTATAATGTAGTGATGTCTCTATGTCTGTGGTGCACTGATACCTCTGTCACTCTGGTTTACTGATGTCTCTCTGTGTCTCTGGCACAGTGATGTCTCTGGACTGAAGATGACTGAGCTGCTAATGAGCTCCCAGAATGCACTGGAGGCCTGCTGCTTCGACACCAGTCTGGAGTACAAGTCAGTCCCTGCCCTACCTGCCGGCTCTCACACTTTGCCATGTCAGATCTGAACGTGCCATGGAGTAGCATTTTAAGGCGTATTGCAGTCGGGCTGAATAAAAGTTGAGGCTCTTCATGTAGACTGATGCCTTCAGAATGGTAAGCATTGTTATATATTGCAGGTTATAAAATAGATACATTCAGAAGTCTTCTTCAAACAATAGTCCACACCACTAATAAAAACATAACAAATGATTCCCACTCATAGGCGGTGATAAAACATGCTGGTGTACTTTTTGTGCTGATCTTTTATTACCCAGTCCCAGCACTGTCGTTTTTAAAGCACACTGTCCCTTGGTGGCGTTTGATAAAAATCCGCTCAGAGAGGGAAGCTGGTAGGCTTGTCAGAGCTGTCTGCTGAACAGGAGCACAGGGCCGCAGTGAGAGTGGAGTCCCTCAGAAGACTGAGCTCTCTCACCCCCGTTCACAGTGCGCAGCTTCTCCAACAGTGAGGAGAAGCGGTAGCGCTCAGACTGAGGGCCTACTGTGCGATACCTCTGAGGGGCGGCAGTGTAGCGTAGTGGTAGGGAGCAGGGCTTGTAACCGAAAGGTTGCCGGTTCAATTCCCCACTGGGTCACCGCTGCTGTACCCTTGGGCAACCTAGTTAGACCAGAGTTGCCTCAGTAAATATCCAGCTGTATAAATGTGTAGCATGTAAAAATTGTAACATGTAAGTCGCTCTGGTTAAGAGCGCCTGCTCTGACAATAATGTAATGTAATGTCTGTGCGTCTCTCGTGTCGCGTGTCCCCTCAGCACCGGGTGCATTCTGGGAGTGGGCCTGGTGCTGTCGGCCCAGAGTCAGAGCGGGCAGGCAGAGCGGCAGGCCCACGTGGCGCTCACGGTGGACAGGCTGCTGGGCGCCCTCGGGGACAGCGCCGGCCAGGGGCGCATGCTGCAGGAGGTGAGCTCCGACGCCATGGTAACGAGGCATGGCTTCCCCCGTCCGATGACAGTCCAGTCATGTACAGTTCCTGTTCCTCTCTGTCTCATCCTGTCATCGTTCTCCTCTCCAGGTAGTGCTCTCACCTCTCCTCTCCATCTCTTCCTCTGGCTCCCTCTCTCTCACTCTTTATCCCTCCAATGCCTAATTTATCCCTCCCTCTCTCTGGCTCCCTCTCTCCCTCTCCTCCTCTTACTTCCTCTCTCTTCCTCCCACTTCATCTCTCTCACTCTCCTTCTTCCTCTCTCTCACTCTCCCTCTCGCCCTCTTTCTCCTTTTTCTTCCTTCCACTTCCTCTATCCCTCTCTCCCTCTTTCTCCCTCCTACTTCCTCTCTCCCTCTCTTTCTCCCTCTCCCTCTCTCCAGGTGCTGGCCTACTCGGTGGCCTGCGCCGGGGTGTTGGCCTTCAGCACGGGCATCATCAACGGCTCCAAGGCGGAGGAGATCATGGCCGTGCTGCGGGCGATGACAGAGGAGAGCCAGCAGGTGAGTGCGGGTTTGAGGCACACGCTGCATTTCCGCTTCTCAAAATGGCTGCCTCCGCCTAACAATGGGGGTGCGTCCCCAGGCCCTCAGCGGGTAATTACCGCCATCCTGCATTAGCGCCACCGTTCCCCGCTCGCCTGTTCGAGCCGCCAATTGCGCTGCTCGCCCTCAGCGGGATTACTGTAATAACCTTGCTAATCGCGCTAATCCCCGCCTTTTAAATGACTTCCCGCTAATGTACGCATCTTCAAAGAGAGGGCTGCCGACCGCGCCACCGAGAGCCTGACACAGTGCTGCTCACTGTGTCAAACGCGTTACTTTACGGCAGTACCCATGGCGATTTCCGTGCTGCAGGAGCGCGCAGCCTCACTCAGCATTCAGACACTGCACACTCAGTCTGAGTCACACCCAGGTTCAGTCTAGGGCTCCTGCGGCTTCTCCCCGAGTGCTGTCTAGGCCTGAACAGGGACTCGCGTACAAGGGAGATGGGTGTTCCTTTCTGGGGTGTATAGTGCGAGGAGATGGTAACACTGTCATGCTAGGTTTACATTTACATTTACATTTATTCATTTGGCAGACGCTTTTATCCAAAGCGACGTACAAAAGTGCACATAGTGAGCAAACAACAGGCACAAGAGCAAGATGTGTAAAGGTCATATAATGCAAATAGTGCTGAAGCTGAGCGCAAGGTCAGTGACGCGAGCCAACTAATCTGAACTAGGATTGCATCTCAAATACAATTACAGAGAGAAAAATGGAGTACCGCTATACTACCTAGACAAGTGAGCAACAAGTACAAGGCAGGAGTCAGATTCACAACATCAAAGTTACAAGGTCGAAGAGGGAGGTATCAGTCCAGGTAGAGTCTGAAGAGGTGTGTCTTCAGTGCACGTCTGAAGGGTTGGATTGATGGAGTTGTTCTTAGGGGGGTGGGGAGTTCATTCCACCACTGGGGGGCGATGATGGAGAATAGGAGGTTGGAGATGGAGGTTTAAACTCATTTTGTTATTATATGCCTTTTTATATCACATATCATATGTCATGTACATTATATATCCTTAGGACTATTGACTTACCGTGGCCGTGTATGTCAGTTGCTTTTGTTTTTGATATTCTTCCTTCTGTGTACTTTGTGATTTCGGTTCATGATTTCTATGTGACAGTGGGACACTTGCAGTCGGTCTGGATAAACAGAGTGCCTCTGTGTTCCAGAATAAGCGTATGTCCTATGCAGCAGGCCCGGCTGAGCCCGGTCTTTTCGGCTCTGTTGATTGGCTGTGTTGTCGCCCCTCAGACCCCGGGCTTTGCCCTGGCTCTGGGCCTCACTGTTCATGGCCTGTCCAGCTGCGGCCACGGGAAAGCGGAGGACCTCAACGCCCGCCTGCTGGCCGCCTGGATCAAAATCCTGCTGTCTGAGGTGCGTGCAGTCCGGGTTACCCTCCATTCTGCCCCCTCAGATAGTCTTTCTTTATGACTGCTCTCCACATATATGAGATGTGTTTTAGTCTGGTACTTCAAACCCTATGTGGTTTATTGATAATGGTTCGGTTTGAGTGTGTTGGTAATGGCTGTATGTGGGTTGGTAATGGCTGCGTGTGCTCTGTGTGAGTGTGTGTGTGAGAGTGTGTGTGTGTGTGTGTGTGTGTGTGTGTGTGTGTGTGTGTGTGTGTGTGTGTGTGTGTGTGCGTGTGTGTGTGTGTGTGTGTGTGAGTGTGTGTGTGAGAGTGTGTGTGTGTGTGTGAGTGTGAGTGTGTGTGTGTGTGTGTGTGTGTGTGTGTGTGTGTGTGGTGAGTGTGTGTGAGTGTGTGTGTGTGTGTGAGTGTGTGTGTGTGTGAGTGTGAGTGTGTGTGTGTGTGTGTGTGTGTGTGAGTGTGTGAGTGTGTGAGTGTGTGAGTGTGTGTGTGTGTGTGTGTGTGTGTGTGTGTGTGTGTGTGTGTGTAATGGCTGTACTCTGAGCTGGGTGTGCTGCTGGTTTCAGGGAGCTCCCACCATGCAGCGTCTGGCTGCAGTGAACGGGCTGGTGGCTCTGGTCGGTTCTGAGAGCTCCCTCATTCAGGTAGGTCCTGCGCTCTTTCTATCAGCCTCGAACAGGTGCAGCATCAAACGAGGGTGTGTCAGTGTCTGATTCCCACCACTCAGCTCTTTTCAGTGAGTGTGTGCCAGCCTGGTTACTACCTGTCTGGTTGAAATGCATGCAGTAGCTGCCTAGTTAAATTTTTGTATTTGTGATAGTTTGTCTTTCATTCTCGTTCACAAATCCATCCAAAGTTCAGTTTTTAAAATTAAATTTCAGTTTATAATGAAACTAATTTTATTCCTCTGCTTAAGTTTCACTTGCAAAACATACCAGGGTGCTGATGATGAATCCCTGTTCTCTGATTGAGGCTTAGCCCGGTCATTTTTGTAGTCATATTACATTCCATTATTGTCATTTAGCAGACGGTCTTATCCACAGTGACTTACAGACATGTAGGTTATAGTATTATCCATTTATGCAGATGGATGTTTACTGAGGCAATTGTGGGTTAAGTATATTGCCCAAGGGTGTAATAGCATTTCCAGAGCGGGGAATTGAACCAGCAACCTTTCGGTTACGAACCCTGCTCCTTACCACTGTGCCACACTGCTGCCCACAGAGTTCCCATTTTTGGTAATTGAAAACTGAATTTTTAATGAACATCTCCTGCATCGTGTCATCCGTGCCACTGTAGTATTTTTGACTGTGCAAACACTGCATTTCAAAGCTTGAAAGTGTGTCATGAGCGCCACTGAAACCTTGATGGTCACCCTGCACAGCCCTCGGCAGCTCTGAGCTCAGTTCCCCTCTGTAACTGGCCCTGCTCTGGCTGGTGCTAAGGCTTTCAGTCAGCATTGTAGGGGCGGCTAATTTCTCACATTTGCCTCCCAGGCATTGGGGTGGGGGGGAAAAAAGGACCTGCTTCAGAGCCACAGAGCGTGTCTCTGTCCACCAGCACCACAGATAGCAGCTGCATAATTGGGCTCCCCTTTAAATTATGTAGGCAGCGTTGCATCGTCGCGGTAACGAGAGCTGCGCGTGCCGACTCGTGTGAGAGTCCCCGGGGGACGGTCCAAAGGCGGCCCATCAGGGCAGGATTGTGTGGCTTCTCTCAGTGGAGCTGGACCATGTGGCTTAAAAGGGAGGGAGACGCTGAACACGCCTGTGTGCCGGGGGTGTCTTCAGTGTGTGTGGGGGTGCTGGCGTGGGCATCCTGTTGTAGTAAGCATGCACACTGTAGCACCAGTGTACCGAGGGGTCGGTGGAGAGGCAAGAGGTGCTGGTAGGTTTCGGACACTCTTGCTCATTCAACTTCAATGGATACACTTCTGTTCTTTTGTGCTTTCCCCATCATGTAGGGCATGATGGGAAGGGCACAGGGCTGCAGTGTAGCATAGCGGGAAGGAGCAGGGCTTGCTGGTTCGATTCCCTGCTGGGGCACTGCTGCTGTACACTTGGGCAAGGTACCTAACACACATTTGCCTCTGTAAATATCCAGCTGTGTAGATGGATAACGTGAATATTGTAACCTATGTTAAGTCGCTCTGGATAAGCGACTTAACATAGGGCGTCTGCTAAATGAATGTGATGTAATGTAATGTGATGTTTCTGACTGACCAAACTCGCCCGCGGACCACAGTTTAAAAGGCCTGAATGTATTCAGAAGGGTGAGAAGAGTTATGGCCGAGCCCGTGCACAGGAGCGGTTTAACAGGGCTGAGCGCAGTGAGAAGGGGTCGTGAGTTATGGCCGAGCTCGTGCACAGGAATGTGTGAGGAACGGCGGTGAGGGTTTAACAGGCGCGGGCTGTGGGGGCAGGCTCAGGAGGCAGGCCGAGGCTGTTTCCAGCGGGGCTTTAAAGAAGACGTCAGGTGGGCCGGAGGGTTTGCGGGCCCGGCAGCAGCGGAGCCCCGCGGTGCAGCGGCTCACCGGGAACCGTGCCGGCCGTGATTTACGACCCCGGGCTGGCGCGAGTTACGCCGGAGGACACGCCTGTTGAGGCCCCCCCTCCCCCCACACGTGTGTGGACCGCGCTGCACATGTCCAGGGTGTCTGCATGCCCTCGCTCCAGGTGAAAACAGGCTCAGAATGCTCTTCTCCCCGTGGTTACGGTGCCGCGGTGTCAGATTTCAAC